TTTTCAGAACGTTGTTTCTCAAGACTTTAAATATTGAAAATATTTTTTCTTTTTCTTTTCTTTTTTTTTTTTTTGAGATGGAGTTTTGCTTTTGTTACCCAGGCTGGAGTGCAATGGCGCGATCTCGGCTCACCGCAACCTCCGCCTCCTGGGTTCAGGCAATTCTCCTGCCTTAGCCTCCTGAGTAGCTGGGATTACAGGCACATGCCACCATGCCCAGCTGAATTTTTTGTATTTGTAGTAGAGACGGGGTTTCACCATGTTGACCAGGATGGTCTCGATCTCTTGACCTCGTGATCCACCCGCCTGGGCCTCCCAAAGTGCTGGGATTACAGGCTTGAGCCACCGCGCCCGGCCTGAAAATATTTTTTCATTAGAACACCTGACCTGTATTTAGATTTCACCTGATCTATATTTAGATTTTACAAAGTTCACAGTTCACATACCCAGGTTCCTAACATACCTACATTTTCCAATGACTGAACCAAGTTAGTGGTTTTTAAACTTAATCACATGGAACCCTGTTGTGCTGACTGCACTTCCAGAGCTCCACAGCATGTGTGGGCGGCAGAGGCTGTGCTGGAGACACAAGGAAGCGGCTTGTCCAAGTGCAGTTCCAGACCAGACGCGTACCTGGCCAGCTCCAAGTGCAAACCTGAGTCCACCTCAGAATCAGGGCCTCGGGTGGGGTCCGGCGCCCTCCTGTAAGGAGCCCCGTGTTCTGACACAGGCTAGGGCTTGGGAACCACCGGCCTAGGATAGACACCATAGAATAAGATAGCACAGAAACAGTCACGTCACCTAGCATCACGGATATGTCGTGGTCAGGTGATGTCATTGTTGTGCAAACATCCTAGAATGACTTACACAGAGATCAATGGTGCTGCCTCCTCCACACCCAGGCTGTAAGGCAGAGGCTACAAACGTGTGCAAAGCGTGAGTGTGCTGAATGCTGTATGCTACTGTGGCACAGCGCTGCATGTTTGCACTTCTAAACCTAGACACAGGGCAGTCCAGCTTGCTGAGAGGATTACGTCCCAGTGTTCTGAGGTACTGCATGGTGACTAGCTTATTTTTTTTGAGATGGAGTCTCACTCTGTTCCCCAGGCTGGAGTGCAGTGGTGTGATCTTGGCTTACTGTAACCTCTGCCTCCCAGGTTCAAGCAATCCTCCTGCTCCAGCCTCCCAAGTAGCTGGGATTACAGATGCACCACCACACCCAGCTAAGTTTTGTAATTTTAGTAGAGATGGGGTTTCGCCACATTGGTCAGGCTGGTCTCGAACTCCTGACCTCGAGGAATCCACCTGCCTCGGCCTCCTAAAGTGCTGGGATTGCAGACATGGGCCACCAGGACCAACCCCTTATTTTTAAATAGCTAGAAGAGCAGATCTTCAATGTTTCCATAACAAATAAGTGTTTGAGGTGACAAATATGCTAATTACTCTCATTTGATGATTACAGTCTACATGTATCCAAATATGACAATATACCCCATCAATATGTACAATATGTCAATTTGCCGGGCGCGGTGGCTCAAGCCTGTAATCCCAGCACTTTGGGAGGCTGAGGCGGGTGGATCACGAGGTCAAGAGATCGAGACCATCCTGGTCAACATGGTGAAACCCCGTCTCTACTAAAAATACAAAAAATTAGCTGGGCATGGTGGTGCGTGCCTGTAATCCCAGCTACTCAGGAGGCTGAGGCAGGAGAACTGCCTGAACCCAGGAGGCGGAGGTTGCGGTGAGCCGAGATCGCGCCATTGCACTCCAGCCTGGGTATCATGAGTGAAACTCCGTCTCAAAAACAAAACAAAACAAAACAAAAATATGTCAATTGAGAGCAAAAATGTTTGCGTCAGATTGAAACAAAAAGGTACAGTGAAAATAGAGTATCAACTTTGCAGTCATCAGCGTATACATGGTCAGTCATTGAGAGAAACACTGTTAGCTAGACTGCAGTCTCAATCACCTTTTGCAGAACACAACTGAATACAAGCCCTTCCTATTACATTTTTAGACTGTGAAACCAGAAAAAAAATTCAGTGGCTTGTATTTTTGTAAAGTGTCTCAGCGGGACTTGTGATGGGCACAGCCAGGTGGCCAGGGTGTATACTGTCTCAGTGGGATTTGTAGTGGGCACAGCTGTGTGGTCAGGGTGTACACTGTCTCAGTGGGATGTGTGGTGGGCACAGCTGCACGACCAGGGCAGTTCAGAACAAACTCAGGGGAATTCTGTTTTGCCTTATTTCCTGACACCCCCTAAGGTCCTAGGAAATCTCTGCACTCTTGAAGTGAATAGTGGCCGTCAGTATAAATTTAAGACCAGTATTTATGTTAACCCTGCTCATTGCTTCACAAAATCACAGTGGTGGAAAGTGTCAGGCCACAAAGGATGCACCTGTCTGTCATCTAAGCCACGAAGGACTGTGGCTCTCACACCCTAGCTTACCCTCCCCTCCACCCCATTGTTTCGGTTTTCTGCTCTTCAAACCTATAACACCCAGTCCCCTATAAACTTCATTACTTGAGGAAGCCCTACTGCCTGCCCTTGTAGTTTAGTCACTTCTGGAAGTTTCCACTGCTTCATCACTAGACAGAGCCGTGTTCAATAAGTGGCATTTTGCAACTTTCTTCTTGATGTTGAAATCATGTCCAGGTGCAAAAAAGCTGTCTCTCAGGCTATCTGGCTGCTGACAACTATGCCTTTTTTTGTTGTTGTTGAGATAGGGTCTTGCTCCGTCTCCCAGGCTGCAGTGCAATGGTGTGATCTCGGCTCACTGCAACCTCCGCCTCCTGAGTTCAAGTGATTCTCCTACCTCAGCCTCCTGAGTAGCTGGGATTACAGGCATTCACCATCATGCCCAGCTAATTTTTTAAAATATATTTTTAGTAGAGACAGGGTTTTACCACGTTGGCCAGGCTGCTTGAACTCCTGACCTCAGGTGATCCACCCACCTCAGCCTCCCAAAGTGCTGGGATTACAGGCATGAGCCATTGCACCGGGCCAAACTGTGCCTGTTTTAAGAAGTCAGCTGTGGCAGGAACAAGTGATCCAGGAAGACACACCTTCTCACACAGCGAGTCCCATCCCCTTGGGAGTCAGGAACAGGCACACAGCTGTGCCCTCCAGGAATGTGAGTAACATGCTGTGGCCTGCCACTGGACAAGGACTGTCAGGTAGGCAGGTGGATGTGCCTCCCCTTTCCCAGCCACACAACCACATTGTTAGAGGCAACACGGTGAAGAGAACGTGAGCGAGCTGTCTGGTGTCTTGACAGAACCTTCCATAAGACTGGGTCCTTGGTGATTCTGCGCAGGGCAGAGCTGTCCTGAGCTGCCTCCCTTGGTTCCTCTGCTCTTTAAGCTGCTTTATTTCACCGGGGTAGTAACTGAAACCACCTCAGATTGTAACTTAACATTATTCTGCTTCTCTACTTTGTCAGGTAATTTGTGTGTATATATATATATATATTTTGAAATGGCATTTCACTCGTCGCCCAGGCTGGAGTACAATGGCGTGATCTTGTCTCACTGCAACCTCTGCCTCCCAGGTTCAAGTGAGGCTTCCACCTCAGCCTCCCGAATAACTGGGATTACAGGCACCTACCACCATGCCCAGCTAATTTTTGTATTTTTAATAGAGAGATTTCATCATGTTGGCCAGGCTGGTTTCAAACTCCTCACCTCAGGTGATCCACTCCCCTTGGCCTCCCAAAGTGCTGGGATTACAGGCGTGAGCCACTGTGCCCAGCCTAATTTGTGTATTTCAATGAGAAAGTTTCAATAAGGTTTCAGACTATTTGCCATTAAAAATATGGGGTACCTGGTGTGGAAGTTAAGAGTGTAAATAATCCACACGGTAGTGTGGACGGGAAGGACCTCATCCCTTTACTTTTCACCAAAAAGAAAACAAGCAACAGTTCTTTTCAGGTTTGTCGTGATACAGAAGTGTTAATCATGTCAGAGGACCTTGGAGGGCAGAAAAGATGTTTCAGAAACCAGCTATGATGCTGCTGTGCTGAGAGCCTGTGCTGGAATGAGCTGCTTTTGTAATCTGGGGTCCCCGTCCTGTGTCATCCATCCTGATGAAGTCAGACCCCTGGAGCGTCGGGTCCCACTGCACGATTACGCGTCATCCATCCTGATGAAGTCATACCTCTGGAGTATCATGTCCCACCATGTGGTTACACATTATCCATCCTGATGGAGTCACACCACTAGAGCATCAGGTCCTACTGCTGTTACGCACAGCAACCTTTCCATGTTCACTAGCCAAGAGCTGCAGCACCCCACAGACGTAACACGAGCCGTGTGAGCCAGTACCTGAGTCACTGGGCCAGCCTGCCAGGAGCCAGGGTGTGGAAATCTCCCAACAGCTTGGGTTAAGAGGCTGTCATGGATGAACACCTACACAGACAGCATGGGTGGGTGCCTGCTCAGCCTGTGTGTGCTGACTGTGAGAACCCACATGGCTTCCTGCGGGTAGGCATCTACCTGCGGCCCAGCCCAGGGATGGACATGATTCAACACATAATGTCAAATCTGCCACACAGATACTACCTGACTTGGCATTATGCGCTGATTCGTGTCCCCACAAGACACGCTAGAGCCCTAGCCTCGGCCCCTCAAGAGTGTGACCTCATATGGAAACAGGGTCTTTCCAGTGATGATCCAGTTAGAAGGTCATGAGTGTGGGATCATATGACTGGTGTCCTTACAGAAAGGGGAAGTCAGGACACACAGACCACCATGTGAAGATGGAGGAGGAGACGGGGGTTGTGTGTCCATGAGCCCCAAATGTGAAGGACGGCCAACGAACCCCAAGACACTGGTGAGACGCAGCCGACGCTCCCCGCAGGCCTCAGAAGGGGCTGGCCCTGCTGACACCCTGCTCCTGGACTTCCAGCCTCCAGAACTGTGAAAGAACTGATTTCTGTGGTTTAAGCTGCCCAGTCTGTAGTACTTGGTGAAGGTAGCCATGGGTAATGCAAACACTAGAATCAACTTCAGCATTCAATTTTATTCTATTCCCATCTACCCAACAAACAGTTCAGATGAGCAGTTCAGTGTGGGACGGTGCTCGGTGTCGCTCCACTCCCCACTTTAGAGTCTAAGCTGGTTCCACGTACAATACCATGTGTTCCGAGCCAGCGCCATCACAGCTGAGTCTCTTTTCACCCGGCTTTGATGGTGGGGCGGCTCCTGTGCCTGCAGCTGTGGTCCAGGGGATGTCTGTGCTGGATACAGAAGTTGCCGTGGCACTGGGCACACACCATCTGCAGCATCTCTTTCTTCTTGCAGCCCTCTTTTGAGCACCGGTATGTAAAAATCTGAGAGAGCAAAATGACTTCAATAAGCAATTCTTTTTTTGGAGACAGGGTGTCCCTGTGTCGCCCAGGCCAGAGTGCAGTGGCTCAATCTCAGCTCACTACAACCTTAACCTCCTGGGCTCAAGCGATTTTCCCATTTCAGCCTTCTTCGTACCTGGTACTATAGGTGCGCACCACCATGTCCAGCTAATTTTGTTTATTTTCGTAGAGATGGGGTCTTGCCATGTTGCCCAGGCTGGTCTCAAACTCAGCCTCAAGTGACCCTCCTATCTTGGCCTCCCAAAGTGCTAAGATTACAGGTGTGAGTCATGTGCTGACCTTAATAAGCAATTCTTTAACAGCCCCCAGTAACAACATTCACATTTAAACTAGATGCAGCTCCTGTCTGCACAGAGTATAGATGCCAAATTTCGTTTGACCATCTTTGTGCAGGCAAGAAGAGGAACACGGGGCTCGCGCCTGTAATCCCAGCATTTTGGGAGTCCGAGGCGGGTGGATCACCTGAGGTCAGGGAGTTTGAAACCAGCCTGACCAACACGGAGAAACCCCATCTTTACTGAAAATACAAAAATTAGCCAGGCGGGGTGGCGGGTGCCTGTAATCCCAGCTACTTGGGAGGCTGAGGCATGAGAATCGTTTGAACCTGTGAAGTGGAAGCTGCAGTGAGCCGAGATTGCACCACTGCACTCCAGCCTGGTGACAGAGTGAAATTGTCTCAAAAAACAAAACAAAACAAAAACCCAAAAACCAAAAAAACAAAGGAAGAACACTAAGGAGACAGAAACTTTAACAAGTGGTTAACGCAAGCCGGCATTGAAGCTGGGGGTTCCTGTGAACATGGCTCAGAGGTGCTGCTGGGAGGACAAGAGAGAAGCAACAGGGACGCAGGTACCCAGGAGGGAAGGAGGCCGAGTACAGGTGTGACAGGCAGCCCCACAGAGGCACCAGCTCCGGGAGCTCTGGGACAGTGGAGGTTGTCCTCATCAAGGGAACATCTATCATGTCCCTGTACCCACCGGTTATTTTTTTTATTTTTTGGTGGCAAGGGGTAGGTGGCAATATAAATTTCTAGACACTCAGAACTCCGAGAGGGGAAGGTGGAAAGTGGGGACAGGGTCCAGCAGCCAGGGGTGGCCCTCCGGCCAAGGCAGGCAGGCAGACAGGCACAGCCACGCTGAGCAACCAGGCAGGAGGGGCCTGTGCAGAGACGCAGGCAGAACACAGACGGTGCCTGCCTCAAGGGCAGGGGCAGAGTGGGCCAGAAGCTGCCAGGAGGGTGCACCTGTTTGGGGGCCTTGGGGCAGTGCTGGGTGAGCCCCCAGCAAGGGAGGCTGTGTTGTGTGGGAGAAGTGGGTGCACCAGGGAGAGCTGCTATGTCTCAGAGGCTCAAGAGATCTCCAAAGGCTGAGGGACCCAGGCACAGCCACAGCAGCAGGAACTAGACGGGGTCAGAAAGGGAGGACTGGAGCGAGCTTCCATACAGAGGGTTTTGTGTGGCAGACTAAGGAACACTGATTTTATTCCATGTTTGAGGCTGAAAGAGTTACTTGGCTTATGGTGATATAACTGTCAAGTATTGAACATCATATACTAAGATAGTTGGTAACCACCGACCAGGACCCACGACTAGGAATGGATCAAGCCTGACAGCAGCCAGTTCCCTAGAGAAGCTTCTTGAGCCCAGCACGGTGGCTAACACCTCCAATCCCAGCACTTTGGGAAGCTGAGGCTGGTGGATCACCTGAGGTCAGGAGTTCAAGACCAGCCTGACCAACATGGAGAAATTCCATCTCTACTATAACTACAAAATTAGCCGGGCATGGTGGCAGGTGCCTGTAGTCCCAGATACTTGGGAGGCTCAGGCAGGAGAATCCCTGGAACCTGGGAGGCAGAGGTTGTGGTGAGCCGAGATCCTGCCATTGCACTCCAGCCTGGGTGACAGAGCAAAACTTTTTTTCTTTTTTTTTTTTTTTTTGAAACAGAGAGAGAAGCTCCTGGAAAAGCCAGCAGAGCCTACAGGCTTATGCTGAGGAGCAAAAGGAAGGAGGCGGCACTGTGCCTGAAGTCCTGAAGGTCCGCAGGCCTTAGGAAGAACTGCAAGAACCAGCAGGGCCTCGGTGAAGGGGAGGTGGAGCCGGCCCTGCCCAGACCCAGGAGGGCACGCAATCCCTGGGAAGGACAGCCCGGGATGGGCACTGCACAGAAGGAAGCGGACGTGCGCCTCCAGAGACACCAGGCTGAGCAGTGGGGAGGAGAGGTGGGATCTCAACACACATCCTGGTCCTGCCCCTCCTGAAATACCATAAAAGCCACAGAAAAGATTTTTGGAAAAGGATAAACCTACAAGGGCAGAGACGATGACAATGAAGACAGCAGCAAGATTTCAGAAGCTAAGAATGACGTGGACAAACGGGGACTTAACAGATGTGGGAAAGACAAACTGTCAACAGGCAGAGAGGCCAAAAAGCAGCCCCGCTTATGAATCAAAACCCCAACAGCTCAGCCAGGCGTGGTGGCTCCCACCTGTGATCCCAGCACTTTGGGAGGCTGAGGCGGGCGGATCACGAGGTCACGAGCTCACGACCAGCCTGACCAACACAGTGAAACCCTGTGTCTACTAAAAATACAACATTTAGCCAGGTGTGGTGGCATGTGCCTGTAGTCCCAGCTACTCGGGAGGCTGAGGCAGGACAAACGCTTGAACCCGGGAGGTGGAGGTTACAGTGAGCAGAGATCACACCACTGCACTCCAGCCTGGGTGACAGAGCAAAACTCCGTTCTCATAAAAATAAAAAAGAAAAAAAAATATTTCCCAGGGGAGAGAGAAGAGCAGAGGAAACCAAAGAAACCAAGAGAATGTTCCAGAATCCAGGAGGGGTCCACTGTGTGCCCAACACATAGGAGACAGACCTATGGCAGGACAGGAGTCTGGTGTGACCCTTCCAACTCTGGTACAGGGAGAAGCTCCTGCAAGCTGTCACAAAACGGGCCCCACTGAGGACCAAGGTCAGGATGGCATGGGAACTCTGAAGTCAGGGCAGATGTCCCAGGAAGAGTTCAACAGTAGGATGCTCAGACCCAAGCAGCTCATTACAGTGAAGCAGAGGATAAAGACCCACAGAGATGTATGGGGTTGACTGACCTCCCCGTCTCCCTCCCAGGAAGCAACCAAAGGATGGACTTCCGCCAAAATAAGGAACAAAGAAGAACACAGAATACGGAACTCAGCTCTACCCTGAGAAATGCAGGAAAGTTGGATCCCTCAAGAGAAGCCAGCCAGGGCAACATAGTGAGACCCCCACCTCTACAAAAATTTTTATTAGCCAGGCGTGGTGGCATATATGCCTGTCATCCCAGCTACCAGAGAGGCTGAGGTGGGAGGATAGCTTGAGCCCGGGAGGTCCAGACTACAGTGAGCCGAGATCCCACCACTGCACTCCATCCTGGGCGACAGAGCAAGGCCCTGTCTCAAAATAAAAACACAAAAAGCAAAAACAAAACAAAACAAAAAAAAACCCAAAGGGAATCTCTAGGCTGTTGTCCTGAAGGTAAGAGAGGCCTGGATCACCCACCCAAAAGCACAGCCCAACTCTACAGGGAGGTGGGTGCACGAGTGTGGGAAATGGCTTTGGAGGAAATTCTCAGCGTCCCTGTGGTGGACAGGGAATGCCTGTGGCCAGAGAGCAAGCAAGACAGACTCAGGACGTGACAACATTTACACGGGAAAAAGCGGACACCACAAACACACACCGCTGTCTAAGAGCTGAAGGCTGGGGGGGCCCGCAGGGAACTGGGGCCTGCTGTGTTTCCTAACAGGCTTTACTACTAATGAACAAGTGAAAAACTTTAATAAAAAAAACGCTGATGGCACCAAAGCAAGAACACAATTTTATATCTTCTTCCATTTTACTAGGAGGAGCTTAGAAAATAAACACACATTAACAGAATGGATCTAGAAAGCCAGGTGAATAATCCATCTAAGGAGGAAAACCAGTCAATTCCAGTAAAGAAAAACAAACCTGACCCGGGATCCCTTAAAAGAACATTTATAAAACTAAAAACTCACTCCACTCGTAGCATAGGGCAGGGACAATACAGCGTAAGGACTCTACTTTGTAAATGAACTATTGGGACTAATTTTCAGTTAGAAAACTGACTCTTCCCAAGGAAAAAGAAGCCTTCACAGTGAAGGAACCGACCCGGACTCTGTCCTTACCTTCTCTTTCTTCTTCCCAGGATGATAGCCACAGTCTTGATCCATGTGATCGCCAACCACCACATCTGGGACCTGTCCCTTTTTTATTGGGATGGGGATATTACAGAGTGGGCATACCGGGACCTGAACATCCTAAAAATAACAAAGGTGAGATGGCATCTGAGACTCAGACAACCTAAACTCACAAAATCTTTAAATGGGTACTCTTGCGTGGCATACTTAAACACAAATAGAGTACAAACACCGGGCTCCCACGCCCTCCCAGAACAAAGCATTGTTGGCATCACGGATTAGCGGTGGCATCTCTAGAATGTAAGCATCAGCTGCCCTGAAGAGTCTAGAGAAAGTTTCAACGAATGGACTTCAGCTGACTGCAGAAATCAACCAGGGCCACCCCAGGATGGCACTGCCCAGGTGAGAGGGGAGCCTGCCCTGATGCCCGTAAAGGGGAGACAATGGAGGGAAACACCAACCACAAAGACCCTCCGACTCCCCTCACTCATCAACTGTCTGATTCTTTTGTGGCTTCCCCCGAGACCTCTACCCCTTGCTCATGCCTAGATGAGGCCACGTGTACGGGGGAGAGCTCCCAGATACTAATGACTGTCACTGGCTGCAGGCCAAGGTTGTGGGGGTTTCAGAGGGGATGACCACCCAACAGCTGAAGGCCCAGCACAGCTAAAAACCTGAGCCAGGACAGGTGGTGATGAAATGGTCAATGAGAAAACTGAGGTGGCATCATGTATCAAACGGGTGGCAGGTGATCACGGAATCACAGGGCCTGCTGTCTGCAGCCTGAGCTGGCAGAGTCACAGGTGGTGCACCCACATTTGGCCAAATGAAGATATAAAGCATCAGTAAATGGTCTCCAGCCGGAAGACACACTAGGCAGTCTGGCTTAGTCATCCATGCCTGGTAAACACAGGGATGTGAGTCACCCTCCCACCCACCATGATCACCTAAAAAAGGCTGAAGGGTCAGACCCTGGCCAACACTGGTCAAAGCACAGAATGCTAGGTCACCCACATTACTCCCGTCACCAGAGTAAAGTAGCAGAGGTCACTAAAATGACCTGTGACCCATCCAGAGACAAAGTGAACATGGGCTGGGAACCATCTCAAAAGTCAACAACAGACGTCTCAAACCTTTGTCTTAGAGTCCTCTTTTCGTTTCTACTGTGGACTCTGGGAATCACCTAAATACCATGTCAAGGCCGCTGCTATTCAACTAAGTAAGCATATTTACTGCTTTCCTGATTGGCTTCCAAGTCAAATATTAAAACCTTCCTTGCATCCGGTGAAGACACAGCCATGGTGTAACGGATCGAAGGAACCAAGTATTTGAACATCTAAAGTAAGCTTTGAACATAAGCTTATAAGCAAGTGACTCCATGAGTCCCTGAAAATAAAATCTCAGTTGTCGGAGAGCCGTCCAACAGATGGCAGAAATGCTCCTCTGTACTGTAACACAGCAGTCACTTGAAACATGGCCAGTGGGACTGAGAAACTAAATTTTAAAATTTAATTTCCACTGAGTTAGCCATGCATGGGTAGTGCCTACTGTCCCAGCAGGACAGCACAGCTTTAGACAGCGAAGAGAAGAATCTTTTGAACAAAGGATGATGAATTACCTTCTGGAATGCACACGGACACTTATGTGCAGCATATATAAAATGATCTTTACAGAAATCTTGTTTACACATATCACATTTTACTGGAAGAAAATCTAAAAAACAAAAAACAGTGAAGTGTTTTAAAGGCTGGAACAAAATAATTCTAGATGGTTCTATGAAAGTGTTTACCTATATTAAATGCTTCAAGCCTGTGAGATTAGATGTCCTTTACGGTCACACACGAGACAACAATCCTGGGATCGGGCTGTCTTCTAGAGAGAGATCCCAATTCATGTGGCATCACAAATATTCAAGCAGCACCCTGGATCCACTCAGCCCTGCCTGCACCCCCACACCCCTGCTGGTGGATGCTGAATGTCCAACAGACCCTGTACCAGTGCAGTTGCTAATCCTGAAAAGCCAGGAAGGCCAAGACACAATTATCAGCTAATTCATATAACAGCCAGCTTTCCCCCAACGAAATACCACTTTCTATTAAGTCTCTAAAAAGTACTTACCTAGCTGCTTGCAAGTTTTTTCTGAACAATGCTTCCCCAAATCAGGAAACTCCATTATGAGAACAGTGTTCAAAACGCAGATGGCAGAGTTAAATATCACCTACAGGAATTAGACTAGTTAGGAGGAAAGCCGTGACTGCCCTTCAGTCACCAGGATTTACAATTTAATTACAGCTAATGAAAGTCAACAGGCCGGGCACCATGGCTAATGTCTGTAATCCCAGCACTTTGGGAGGCCAAGGTGGGCGGATCACCTGGGGTCGGGAGTTCGAGACCAGCCTAACCAACATGGAGAAACCTTGTTTCTAATAAAAATACAAAAAATCAGCAGGGCGTGGTGGCACATGCCTGTAATCCCAGCTATTCAGGACTCTGAGGGAGGAGAATCGCTTGAACCCTGGAGGCGGAGGTTGCGGTGAGCCTAGATCGCGCCATTGCACTCCAGACTGGGCAACTAGAGCAAAACTCCGTCGGGAGGGGTGGGGGAGAAAAAAATCAATAAACAGTTGTGTGGGGAGCATTCAGTGGGAGTTTCAGTACAAATAGCAGGTCTCAGCCGTTCGTAATCAACCCCATTAGGAGAAACGGATTCCTTTTTAGTCCTTTAAATTTCTAGTCTATGAAGTTCACCTTGGACCCAGGTTTCTATTTCAACTCCTACTGAGGAGGCGATATTCAATTCACACAGCTGCCAGTGAAAATTACGACCTTTGTGAATTTCAAGTCACAATTTTATCAATATACTTGTTGATATAAACAAAACTCTGTTACTAAATCACATTAGTTGATGCTAATCAACTAAATCTGGTGCTAAATCACATTAGTTGACTACACTATCCAGAGATTTAAGTCTGTTCCTCGCCTCTCCAACTCCCTTAGGCATTGAGTCTTAGGATGACATCAACCTAGAGTTGATCAGGGAGAAGCCAAGCTGTTAACTCACAATGGAAAACAGGCAGACAGCTGGTGAAACTACTGCACTCGAAAGAGAATCAAGGGGCTCATGAGGTCTCCTGGCTCCATGATTTAGCACCCACCAGCCCTCCCGGGGCCTTTTCCTGACCTTCCCATCGGCTCTCTTCAACCTCCTGGGCTGTCCCCTGTGCCTGGAACATATGGCAAACGTCTGACTCCCAGCAGACGGGCCGGACCCCCAGCAGGCAGCGGGACCCCCAAAAGACAGGCCAGACCCTCAGCAGCCTGACCCCAGGCAGGCCCGGCCCCCAGCAGACAGCCTAGACTCTCGGCAGCCGGACTCCCAGCAGACAGGCCGGACCCCCAGCAGACAGGCCGGACCCCCAGGCACGCCCTGTCCCCGGAGGCGGCGCAACGTCGGCCCCGTACCTGGCTCTCGTTTGGGACCCAGGCAGCTGCGGGAAGCAGCGGAAGACGGAGACGGACACGCAGGTGTCCTCCTCTGCAGTCGGCTCCGGGGAGCGAAGCCAAAAGAGACTCGACGCACGCACCGAGACGCCGCAGGACGCAGACCCAAGCTCACAGCAGAACGCGACATCTCGCCGCCCGCAGCCCACGGCCATTTATCCGCAGCACTGCGATCTGCGAGCCGCCTCGGCCTTGCGGCTTCCGGGCGCGCCCCGACAACGTAACCCTCAGACTGGCCAGTCCCATCCGGCCGCGGCCCGGCGGCACCGGCGCGTCCCGAGTACGTCACCAGTCATCCGGCCAATCCCGTCCTTCCGCGCCCTGCAGATCCACCCGCTCTTCGCCCCTCCGCTTTCCTTCTGGAAGCGTCCGGGCGCTTCTCGCAGGCGGCGTGCGTGCTGAGTCACTGTGAGGAGGCTCCGCGCAACCGCAGCCGCGCGGGCAGGGAGCGGAGAAGCTGAGTCACGGCTGTGGCCAGGGTCCCGCGGGGCAGAAGCGCGAGGCAGGCCTGAGTGGGGAGGCCCAGCGGCACATCGGCGTTCCCCTACTCAAACTCGCGCACCCACCCACGGTTCCCAATCCTGCGGGTCCCAGGAGGCCTCTATCTCAAAACAACCAGTTTTTAATTTCAAACTTAGAGAAAAGCTTCAAGAATAATACCGAAAATGTCAATGTCCCCAGCACCCAGTTTAACCATTTCCCATTTCACCGCCGCTGCCCCCGCCCGCTGCTCGGTTATGTGGCCGTGTGGGGTTGACTCTGCCCAGGGTCGCGGTGGCTGCACAGAGCGTCCTACACATACGTGGCTCCGCCTGGGGAAGACCCCTGTCCCGCCTTTCACAGGCAACCCGGCTGGGCAGGAGGAGGCCCTGGGCCCAGGAAATGGAGACCAGCCTGTACATAGTGAGACCCCATCTCTGCAGAAATAAAAAAAAAAAAATAGCTGGGCCAAGAATGGTGGCTCACGCCTGTAATCCTAGCACTTTGGGAGGCCGAGGCGGGAGGATCGCCTGAGGTCAGGAGTTCAAGACTAGCCTGGTGAACATGGTGAAACCCTGTCTCTACAAAAATAAGAAATTAACCTGGCACGATGGCATGCACTAAGGCTTCTTGGGAGGTGGAGGCCTTAGTGAGCTGTGAATGTGCCCTGCACTAGAGCCTCGGCGACAGAGCAGACCCTCCCTCAAACCCAAAAAACATCGTGCCAACAGGACCAGATCAATAGAGACTACCCCCAATCAGGTAAGGACAGGCATAAGTAGGCACACTCTTTTTTGTTGTTTTTTAGACACGGTCTCCCTCTGTGGCCCAGGCTGTGGGGGCACTGGGATGATCACAGCTCACTGCAGCCACCACCTCCCAGGTTCCTGAGTAGCAGGGGCTACAGGTGTGCGCCATCATGCCAGGCTAATTTTTGTATTTTTCATGGATATGGGGTTTCGTAGTGTGGCTCAGGCTGGTCTTGAACTCCTGACCTTAGATGATCACTCTGCCTTGGCCTCCCAAAGTGCTGGGATTAACAGACATGAGCCACTGTGCCCGGCTTATCATACAGTCTTTACTCTCAGTTTTCACCAGAGGACTCAAGGGCTGTGAAAAGAGCAAGGCCTCACCAGCTGCACGGTGTTGGTGATGGGCTCCATCTTGATGTCCTTTCTGATCACGAAGCATCCCCCGCTGAAGGCTTTGCGCAGGCCCAGGACAACCCCCTTTCAGGATGTCTGGATCAGTGCAGGACCTTCTTCTTGACCACATCCCTCTCCTTGGACTGGTTCATTACCTGTTTTACCCACCTTCCCCACTCCCCCGCCGCCTTCTTTTTTTCCAGACAGAGTTTCATTCTTGTTCAGGCCGGAGTGCAATGACGCAGTCTCGGCTCACTGCAACCTCTGCCTCGCAGTTTCAAGTGATTCTCCTGCCTCAGCTTCCCAAGTAGCTGGGATTACAGGTGCATGCCACCATGCCGAGCTAATTTTTTTTGTATTTTAGGAAGAGAAGGGTTTCACCATGTTGGCCAGGCGGGTCTCAAACTCCTGACCTCAGGTGATCCACCCGCCTTGGCCTCCTGAAGTGCTGGTATTACAGGCGTGCGCCACCACACGTGACCTACCTCTCTTTTCTCTTGATGTAAGTGCTGCTTTGATATGGACATTTTAATCCATACTCTGTAACATTTATGTATTAACTTTACAACTATATATGGTTTGCAGTGTTGACTGACCTGTGGAGTGGCTGGAGCCTGAATGCCTGAGGCTGTGGCTACCAAGTGAATCGGTTGTGCTAAGGAGAATTGCCACCTTGGGAAACCCTGTGTAGTTGTGGCTTTTCTGATTAAGTATCAATAAAAGTCTGACCTTGTAAAACACACACACACACACACACACACACACACACACACACACACACAGACGTCAGTGGACCTGCTTATGTTTCACCCTTCGTTGCTCAGTGATAGCTCTGCAGAGTCACAGCAAACACAGAGTTGTCTAATTATCGTGAACGTTGGTGAGTAAACACTCCTAGGGCAGTGGCTCCCAGGGGAAATACGGAGTTCGGTTCCTCCAAGCCTCCGGCTGTAGCATTTTTGTGAAGCAGTTCACTATTAACCTTGTTGGGTGTGTGTCTCTCTCTGAGGGTACCTTCTTTAATAATATATTGTTGATTCATTAACATGGAATTAATGGCCAATATACCTCTGTCACTTAGGCCTGATTGAAGTTTATTGACACATGGATTTTTCTCCCTTAGGCACATCACAGCCTTCTTGCCATCAAGAAACTACATGGGGCTGGGTGCAGTGGCTCACACCTGTAATCCCAGAACTTGGGGAAGCCAAGGTGGGTGGATCATCTGAAGTCAGGAGTTTGAGACCACCCTGACCGACATGGTGAAGCCCTGTCTCTACTAAAAATACAAAAATTAGCCGGGCATGGTGATGGGCACCTGCAATCACAGCTACTCTGGAGGCTGAGGCAGGAGAATCGCCTGAACCCCAGAGGTGGAGATTGCAGTGAGCTGAGATCATGCCACGGCCCTCCAGTCTGGGTGAGAGTGAGACTCCATTTCAAAAAAACAAAACAAATCAAGAAGATTAGCCAGGTGTGGTGGTGGACACCTGTAATCCCAGCTACTCAGGGGGCTGAGGCAGAAGAATCGCTTGAACTTGGGAGGCGGAAGTTGCAGTGACCGGAGATTGTACCACTGTACTCCAGCCTGGGCAACAGAGTGAGGCTCTGTCTCAAAAAAAGAAAAGAAACAACACTAAGGTCTGCTCCTCACACCCCATTCGATTTTGCCCTGTTCAGCTTTTACCCCATTCACATTTTACGCCAGTTTTTTACCCCGTTCAGATTTTACCCCATTTAGATTTTGCCCCATTCAGACTTTACCCTGTTTAGATTTTATTCCGTTTAGATTTTACCAACAGTGTCAACAATGTCTCTTTCACTTTCCGCTCCAGGAACCCATCCACAGTCACAGTTTCAGTTCTCTCCCAGCTGGGATATGTCTTTGGATATTCCTGTCCTTGTAATACCGTTCCCAAAGTGCTGGGATTATAGGCCTGAGCCACCAAGCCCAGCCATTGAGAACACTCTCTTCCTCGGCTGCAGGGACACCTGCTTTACTTATTTTCCTCCTAAGTTAGCAGTGACTACACTCATGCTACGTCACTCGTGGTATTCTTTTCTTTTCTTTCTTTTTTTTTTTTTTTGAGACACAGTCTCACTCTGTTGCCCAGGCTGGAGTACAGTGGCACAATCCCAGCTCACTGCAACCTCCACCTCCTGGGTTCAAGCAATTCTCCTGCCTCCTGAGTAGCTGGGACTACAGGTGCGTGCCACTGCTCCTGGCAAATTTTTTGTACTTAGTGGAGGTGGGTATTTCTGCATCAGAAATGCCATCCTTGGGCTGGATGCCATGCCTCATGCCTGTAATCCCAGCACTTTTGGAGGCTGAGGTAGGTGGATCCCTTGAGGCCAGGAGTTCAAGAACAGCCTGGGCAATATTGCAAGACCCTGTCTCTACAAAAAGAAAAAGCTTTTAAGTCATTCTTAATTTTAAAATGATACTCTGGCCAGGTGCGGTGGCTCATGCCTGTAATCCCAGCACTTTGGGAGGCTGAGGTGTGCAAATCACAAGATCAGGAGTTCGAGACTAGCCTGACCAACATGGTGAAACCCCGTCTCTACTAAAAATACAAAATTAGCTGGGCGTGGTGGTGGGCGCCTGTAATCCCAGCTGCTCGGGAGGCTGAAGCAGGAGAATCGCTTGAACCTGGGAGGCAGAGTTGCAGTGAGCCGAGATCACTCCATTGCACTCCAGCCTGGGCCACAGAGCAAGGCTCCATCTCAAAAATAATAAAATAAAATAAAATGCTACTCTGATCTGAGCTCCTGCCAGTTGTGGCCTCCGGATCCTTAGGGGTCTGTTCTCGAGAATGCAGGTGGAGGGCCTCGTCCTTCACGGAATAGCAACGACGCAAAGTCAAAGGGTTGTTTCGACTGTGTTCTGTTTCCTGAGGGGTTCTGAATAAGCAACAACCACCCAGATTCCTCCCTGCCGCCATGTCCCCTCCTGGCCAGGCCCCTTTTTGACCCCTCCAATCTCCGCGTTAAATACAAAAGCCCCGTGTCCCAGCAGCTCCCTCTGCAGGCCGCAGCAGGTCTTTGTGAATCAGGCCCAGCACTGCTTGGCCCGTTTGTTCCTTATTTTAATCTTTGCACATGGGCTAGGACTGCAACATTGTTTCTCTCTTTTACAAATATGAATTTGAAATAGAGAGGAAATTAATTTCCCATCTGGCTGCCACACCTAGTGATGGTGTGGACTGCAGCCCTAGGCTGTGCCTTGCTTGCTTTAACTCCCAGTCAGGCTGTAGGGAGCTGTTGAGGACCTGAGGACCTGTTCCACAGGAGATCCTTTGCTGGGGAAGGCATGACTGTAGCCTGTAAGCTCCGCGGAGAATGCAAATATATATATATTTATCTATTTATTTTGAGACAGGGTTTCACTCTTGTTGCCCAGGCTGGACTGCAGTGGCACAATCTCGGCTCACTGCAACCTCCGCCTCCCAGATTCAAGCAATTCTCCTGCCTCAGCTTCCTGAGTAGCTGAGATTACAGGCACCTACCACCACACCTGGCTAATTTTTTTTAATTTTTAGTAGAAATGGGTTTTCACCGTGTTAGCCAGGCTGGTCTTGAACTCCTTACCTTAGGTTCCTGCAAGCCAAACTG